AAAAAAAAAAAAAAAAAAAAAAAAAAAAAAAATGAGCCTGCCCATTTCTATGTAAGAGAATAACTATCTTTTAGAACAGAATGATGATAATGTTATTTGTAAATTAAAGGAGTTTAGCTAGATGATATGACTGAACCCTAAGATTCCCCTCAGTTCTAACATTCCATTAAATCTGTTGAAAAGAATCTGGGAAAGTTTTATATGGTCTATTAATCCTTAGTTTTTTGCCAAACTCTAGGAATTTGTGTGATCTTAACTTTTTAGTTCACGAACACTCAAGGGCTTCGTGTCTGTGTCTCTGATTGCTATATGTCAGCTTTGTACAATCTTGTTATTTCCCAGGTGTTATTCTGATAGGTTAAATAAGAGGAAATTCCATTAACATTAAGTCACATTATTATGAAACTGCAAAGTTCAAGGAATTCTAGCTGGTGCTATAAAAAATATAAGATATATTCCCTGACTTCAAGGAGCTTCCCATCTAGTTGGAGTGACAAGATTATCACTAATAACATGAATAACAGTTTCTTAAGTAGCTTCTATAGTCTGGACAATGGGTGAATCTATGTACATGTGTTACTTCCAATCCTCATGACATTCTGGAAGAGTAGCTATTATTTCTCTCATTTATGGAAGAAACTGAAGCTGTGAGTGGAGAAGCAATTTGCCTCTGTACCTCAGTTAATAGCAGGCAGAGTCATAATCCAAACTTGAGTAGGCAAGGATCTGAAACCTTCTTCACTAAGCTACACTGCTTTACATACAATCATTTGAAAATAAAAAATTTAAATATAGAGTTAAGTGTATCCTTGTGTGGTCTTGACTGTAAGTTTATAGGAGTCAGAGTGAGGTTTGGATTGTTGTAAAGGAGCAGAAAGGGAATGCTAAGCAACAAACAATCAAATACACAAAAAACCACAAGCAAAGGCACAAAGGCAGGTATAAATACGATAAATATGGCATTTTTGATGGACAGTGACAAACCCAGCACCTTACTGGTATCACGAGCTCTATCCCTTCTGGGTGCTGGCGCAAGACTAGATGAAGTGCCAACCAGGAAGGTGGCAGGGCAAGGTCCTGGGGTTTGGTTTGTTTGGGCAGAAAATTACCCGAATTGAGTACATGTGGGAAGATCCAGGGAATGGAAATAGGGCATATCCTAGGGAATACCGACGTTTCAAGACAGGAAAGCCAAGTTTTGTAATTGAGTCCAACATGCAAGCATGAGAATGAAATCACTCAACAAAGACAAGCAAGTTAGAAGCCCAGGAAACTCTGGAAAAGAGTAGGAAGTAAAGAACAAGAGCAATATGAGAGAGACTCTCCAGGACCATTACTGTGGAGCTGGAAAGACAAAGCCTTACTTTAACTGGCTGTTGATATCGATTATGCTAATCTGACTCAAATGAACATGATGTGGGAAAACAACTGGAGTGTAACATTAGTGTTTGGATTTAGTGGGGCAAAAGGATAGAAGAGTAGTGAGATGGCAAAATTAGAGAGGACCTCGAAAACCAAAAGAGTAGACTATATGGCAAGCAACAGAGAACCATTTAAGACTCTAACCCAGAAGAGCATATGATTAAAGCATGGCTA